ACGTTTTATAGTCCCCATATAATGATACTTCCCGATATTCGTTATTTTTTATGATTATTGCCACATTTTTTCACGGATTTGTCCAAAATTGTTAATTGTAGGTCATAATGGTTTCTAGTTGGTGTGGTAAAACTTTGTATATATTTGTTTTGGTATAGCCCCATATAACGGTACCTCCCGATATTCGGTATTTTGATGAAATGTTCTTACTGGTATATGAAATTTAAAGTGAAACACGCTTGAACTCAGATACTTTTATTTAAAAATGTTTCCTTTACTCTAAGGTAGAGGGTATTAAAATTTCGGCCCGGCGAACTTAATGTTTTTTACTTGTTTAAATTAGTATGTTAGCCATAGTTTTCATAAAACTTCGGCAAATTTTGGCAATTTGAGTTCTTAGTAAGATGAAACTATTCTTGCAAAAAACTATCAATATAACTCATATCATCATATAAGGCTCATATGAAGGTACCACCTTGTCCTTATTTGGCATCTTGGTTTCTTCTCGCAGACAATTTTAAATGTAGGTGCTGAACAGATTTTCCTGAAAATTTTCATGTACACTGCAACATCGCCTGAAAGTAATATAGGCCATATAATTTTTTTAAATTCCACTTGGAACTGGAGATATAGCATCACAATCGGAGGTACCTCCCAATAATTTCGATTTTATATACACATATCTATTGATCGATTACAGATGCAGTCTCCAAATTTAGAATGCGTAACGGAATTTGGAACAAAAATAAGTTTGCCAAATTATATTGAAATCGGTTCAGATTTGGATATTGCTCCCATATATATTTTGGACCGATTTCGTTCATTTGATGCCTCAAACACGATATGAATGTTCGATTCCAATGAAATTTGGAATGTGTGACGGGATTTGATCGGAAAATAAATTTGTAAAATTATATTAAAATCGGTTCAGATTTGGATATAGCTCCCATATATATTTTCGGCCGATTTCAAGCATTTGATGCACCAAACACGCTATGTATCTCTAATTTCAATGAAATTTGGAATGTGTAGCGGATATTAAAACGAATATACATTTGTCAAATTATAGTAAAATCGGTTCAGATTTGGATATAGCTCTCATATATATTTTCGACCGATTTCATGTATTTTATGCACCATATACGATATGTATGTTCGATTCTAAAGAAATTTGGAATAGGTAACGGGATTTTGATTAGAAAATAAATTAGTCAAATTATATTAAAATCAGTTCAGATTTCGATATAGCTCCCATATATATATATATATATATATATTCTCGTCCGATTTCACATATTTGACCCACCAATTTCAATGAAATATGAAAGGTGTGGCGGAATTTGGTGTAAAAGTAAATTTTTTAAAATTATATTTAAATCGGATCAGATTGGAATATGATTTTAATAAGAAGCATTGACCCACAACGCCTTAGGCTAACACCAAAAAAACAACACAACAATTAATTTGGAATACGCTTATCACGGGGAAGTATTTTGCTACCTCGAATTCACTAATTGCAATATAAATGCCACTCAACTTCAAAAGATTGCAGTTTTCTGCACGCTTGGTATTTGCTATGAAATAAATAAATCCCAAGGACAAACCCTTCGTGTATTCATGTCATGTTACTGCTTTTCTAATGGTTTTGTTTATTTACGCACTAGAGTAGTGAAATAAATATTTTTTTTTTATTTTTAAATTTGTTTTGCGCAACATATGGTCGTAAATAATTTTGAATGCACATAAAATCAAAAAAGGGTTCAGCTAGTTACCTATACAGGGCCATATCTTCGTGCATTCCCAAAATAATGGTACCTTCTAATTTTTTCAAGTGATTTATCTAAAAATTGTTATTTGGAGTCCGCAATAGGCACTGACTGTTCTATCAGGTAATTGTATATACAGATCCATGTTTGAGTATTGTCCCTATGTAAATGTACCACTAAATATTCGGCAGTTTAACAATTTAAGGGCATTTTTTTACACCCTCGACCATAGTATGGAGGGTATATCAAGATTGTCATTCCGTTTGTAACACCTGGAACTATACATTTTAGACCCCACAAAGTATATATATTCTTGATTAGCATAAAATTCTATGTCGATTTAGCGATGTCCGTCTGTCTGTGGAAATCACTCTAGCTTGCAAACAAAATGAAGTAGATTAATGAAATGTTACTCAAATGTATAATAATGGTATTGAAAATGAGCCATGTAGGTCCACGTTTTGGTATGGCCACTATATAACGGTACCTCCCGATATTCGGTATTTTGCTGATTTTAGCGACATTATTTGCCGGAATTGTTTCAAATTCGGTGTTTTGAAGTTCGTAATAGTTACTACAGCATATGGCAGATTATCTGTGCAGGTACACGTCTTCGTATAGCCCCCATATAACGGTAGCTTCCGATATTCGGAATTGTTTCAAAGTTGGTATTTGGTGTCAAAAGGTAACACTTTCTCTAATACAAATTTGTTTAGATGACCCCAGATTTTCGTATATCCCCATATTACTGAACTTAACTAATTTCTGTATTTTGATGATTTATGTTACATTTTGTAAAATAATTGTTTCAAATCTTGAATTTGGTGTTAGTAATGAGTACCACTTCCTATGTCAGAAAATTATTTAGGTGTTTTTGTTGTAACAGACAAAACCAACTTACATGGTTATGCTATTTCGTTCATGTAAAACGAAAGAAAGCATAATAAGGGGAGAAGATGAAAATGTTAATAAGTGCGGTTGTAAGATTTTCCAAAAGAACTTTAGTTTAATATAATTCTTTGGTTCCTCTTCTATTGAGCTTGCGATCTCGTCATTGGGTAAAAAAAAAAACTTTTGTCATAGGAGTTATTTTTAAAGTAACTTCTGGGGAGAATATCACAGACAAAAAAGGATGAGGATTGGTGGCTCTGTCTTTCATAAATATTATGCTGGGAATGCGTTATGAAATGGCTTCCATAATGTTAAGTGGCCTGTAATTTTTTTTCACAGTAATTTTGGTACTTTTACAGTACCGTAGCTTAAACATTGGTAGTGAATTAGTGGTAGATATAAAGAGTGGTAGTATCTAGATCAATTTCCAAGCCATTTAGACGTTCATACGGCTAACCCCGAACATACGCAAAGTGTGCTGCTAAACCTAGTTCCGATTTATCTTAGAATCCTAATCATCAAACCCTCGTAAGACCCGACGACCATTTATAACAGTTCCTTACTGCCATCGAATCGTCAACAATCGAAAAGCCAACATAAATCCGAACAATAAGGCTTTAATTCTTGTTTTCCCTTACTTGTCAACATCCGAAGATCATCCACTAGTTTCCGATCACCTTCGGATCACCGGTAACCTGATCGTTATGCCCGGTTGCTCACACTTCATTAACAACCCGAATGTTAATCGTAAACAACCCGATATCGCTACATCATAGTTCCCGCTCGTCCTAAAAATGGATCACCCTCTGAATACCAACCCCAAAAATTCCCAATTGCCTACGAGAGATTGAAGTCGAGTTTCCAATCATCAACTGAATACCTCCTTCCAAATTATAAGTCTTTTCGCCATCCTATATATTTTATTGCATTTGATTACTAATATATTGTACATTAGAATTTAAATCAATAAAACAATTTGAATCCAGGAAAGGCGGGGATCTGCTACTCCTATCTGCTTATGGAGCCCCAGGTCACAGCTGAGCTTCTTTCAGACGGCTATAAAACCCCATTGCAGCATTAAAGTCTCCCAATATAACACTTTTTAGATAGCTATCAATTTCATCTGTAAACATGTTTTGGGACACATAAACTTTACCATAAGAACCCTAACTGAAATCTTGTCAGCATCACATTCTCCACCGCAAGTATCATTGTCTTAGATTTAAATTTGTTATCAACACATAAATTAACATGAAATATCAAAATTTGTTATTCTGCATACTTAAATCTTCTATTTTTTTAGTTTTCTTTTAGTGATTATTCCTAGATATCTTCAGATAGATAAATTTAAATTAACCCTTTCAGTGTTTTTGTCAAATATATTTGACATTTAAAAGTACTCTCTTTCTTTGCCATTTTTTGTTTTTCTTACGAACCGTTATTTTTGATATTTTTTAAACAGACACGTTCGCTATTTAAAAATATTGCAGTTCTATTCTATTAGTTTCGTTTTCGAATTTCTGAGCACATTTTAGTAAATTAGTACGGAATTTCAGATTTTTATCTCGACAAAAATTTTCATTGACACTGAAAGGGTTAAAATACAATCATTTTTTACGAGTTGTTGAAAAAAACAGTATACTCGCGTGCCATTGTATATTGACAATTGAAATCGATTTGTGGCGAACAGTTATTAATAAAAATTCAAAAAAAGATACATTTATCTCATTTTTCCTTTATCGATTAAAATTAAAAATTTATTTTTAACACTTGTTAACATGTCACCTTCCGGGTATGCAAAATTTTTCGATAGCAAATATTATTTAATTAATGTAAAAAGACTGAACCTATTATGTCGGCTCAAAGATTTAACTTCGTAAATTTATTAAGTCGTATATTGCATCTTGTTAAACATTCCAGAAACCGATCAAATATATATGCCTATGCTGATTTCTAATAAAAAATCGATAATGTTTTGGCAAATAATCAATTCCTACTGTGATTTGGTACGCATATTTTAAATGGCAGCCAGCCAAAACCAATTTGAATCTGTTTATCATGTTCGATATCGGCGATACGAACGAGCGAAATTTATGCAAAATTTATGCCATTTACACCAAATTCGATTTCGATCGTTGACCCAATATTCGGAATTGATGGTCCAAACAATGAGTTGCTGGGCTCGTGACTATGCTGTAATCCAGCGTTTGAAACAAACGTTTTGGCGACATATAAAAACTGCAATGTAGACAAATAACATTAACAGTTATAATTTTTATTTCGCATTGTGAACATTGCTGTTCGCTTTGGGGTTTTTTGGCTACAGGGAACTTTACGAGCACGATGCGTCTATTTTTGGTAAGATGAACGCGCGGAGAAGATGGGGAAATATAAATAACCTGGATTCTCTTTTTCATAGGTTTTACTTTCCATTGGCTACACATTTGCCGTACCTCAAGGTTATAATTATCAGATCGAAGTTGGACCTAATGGTGGTAGTAGCATTCAGGCCATACCCAATGAATATCAGCAAATCCTGCAAGAGCAGTATGTTGGTCAAATACCCCAAGGTTTTGCGGAAACAGTTGGACAATTCGGAAGTAATTTGTTGCATAGTGCCCAGCATGTCATACAACATGAACAACTTCAACAGCAGCAGCAACAGCAACAGGATCTTGTAATTCAAGCTCCAGCAACAATTGTCCAGCCTCCCGCACAAGAATTCGCCGCAAAATCTCCACCTGTGGAGCCTGTCCATGCTCACTTTATTATCAGAACAACAGAAAAGCCGGTGAAAACAATTGAACCCGTCGTTCCCACAACACCCGTGCAGAATAAGGTGTCTTTCCACAAGGAATTCTATTATTTATCTGCACCCCAAGAGGAATATGAACCACCCAAAGATTTACAAGATCAATTGGCCACAATCAAGAAGAATCTTAAAGTGGTGTTCATTAAAGCCCCTGAAAACAATGGCCTGGAACAAGCCGCCCTGCAATTGGCCAAACAATCTGCAGCTTCGCAGACAGCTATTTATGTCCTCACAAAACAACACGATGCCTCCGAACTGGCCCAGAAATTGAATTCCATACAAAACGTGGCACCACAGCGTCCAGAAGTTGCCTTCATTAAGTATCGTACGCCCGAGGAAGCTGAACACGCTCAACGTGTCATTCAAGCTCAATACGAACAATTGGATGGCCCCAATCACATCAACCGTCCCGACGTCGGAGTTACTCATGATTTTGTGGGTTCCAATAATATTAAGCTGGATCCACGCTCTGGAACCAGTAGCAGTGCAACTGAAAAGGTCGCAACTACAAAACCAAATTCCAAATATTTACCGGCTACAGCTAAACATTAGCGCACTGCCGCTGACCATGTTTATGTATATTTATATATTTTGTAATAAATTAAGTTAATTTATTGAATTTAAAATTAATGAATATTTTCAATATTGGGACATCGAGTAGCACTCTTTTGCATAATCATGTTTGGATGACAAAATCATATGCCAACTCATGCTTTACCCTCACTTGTATTGTGAAAAAATTAAATTTTTTTCAGCTATATTAAACAGAAAGTATTTCCAAACTCGTGTATATTAAAGCATATGTTAGGGCTTAATAAAATTTTGAATTCTAAGAAACAGGGCGGTTCACATAAAAATGTTACGATCAGTTTTCTTGAAGCTAATGGCGAATTTATACTATTGAAAATTATCCACTGTGATTGGGATTAATTTTATATGTTTAAATATACCCGTAGGAGTATTTAAATGCCGCTCAGCTTATATTTCTTTTCGTATCCATACGCAACCAATTGAGAATACATAAAATAGCCAACAATTATTTGTTGAAAAATATACAAGTAAAAGAACATTAAACTTTTAATACCCTCCACCATTGGGCAAATAAAACATTTCTATACAAAAGTATCTGAATTCAGACCGTAAGACCGTTTGGATAATGCTGTTAAACTTTTCAGAAGTGGGTGAGACCGTTATATGGGGACCATACCCCATAATTTATAATTAAGTATTGTTATTTACCAAATATTCTTAAATATCAAATTTGAACCAATTTCGTGAGTAAATGTGACTAGGAATATCAAAATACCGAATACCGGGAGGTATCGTTATATAGGAGCTATACCAAAAAGTTAGACAGATATATACTATGTTCCGCCTCCGGATCTAGAACCCATTGTGACCTACAAATACCAATTTTTGAACAAATTTTCTTTGAACTATACAGGGTGAGATGGAAAAACTGTAACCAACTTCAGACTGCTGTCACTTCTAAGCCACTCGTCCGACTGCTGTTAAAATTATTCCAGTAACAGCTTACTATATTTTTTGCAAGCGTACAAAAGCAATCTGGTGAGAAATTTCCAGAAAAAAAGTTATTCGTGGTGGAATTCAATCGTGATAGTGTGATTTCTTTCTATTTCGAGTTCATTCAATTGTGATTAGGGGTTGATTTATATCTTTTTGGGTATTTTGTTTTTTCCGTCAATGCTTTTTCAATGAAAATTTAGTAGAGCGAACATCTATCCCTAATTTTAAACATGATTTAATAAATATCTTCAAGGGATATGTTATAGAGGTTCTTTTCGTTCTCCCAGCGTTTGCATAAAGTCTTCGCTCTCGTGACTTATTTCACATGTAGCTTCCTCTGTCTTTCTTGCTTGCTTTTTGCTATGATTTCGATTAATTCTGTCAGTGGTTGGTCGGCGATAAGGGGTGTATCGTCAGCATTTCCAACTATCGTCATTATTTTTAGTAAGTCATCAGACATGAGGTCCCACAGAAGGAGCCCTAAGCTGGAATCTTTTGGTACAACTGATGTTATTTTATACTGCATGATACCCACGTATGTATCATACAATAGGTATCTATTATTTCGATCTCTTATATGTCGATATTTAACGCATCACATTTTCCTGCTTTATTAGTGTCCAATCCGCATAATTGAAAGCTTTCTTGAAATTGAAATAAGGATTCCTCTTAAAGCATCTATGGTAATTTTCCTTTGACGAAACTGAACCGCATTGACGATAAACCAGCGCTTATTTTATTTCTGCTATATAATTTTTATACCCTACACCACAAGGTGGTCAGGGTATTATGTATTTGTGCATTTGTTTGTAACAGGCAGAAGGAAACGAGATTGACCCATAGTTCCTTTTGATGATCTGCATAGAATCACATTCTGAGTCGATTTATGCATGTCCGTCCGTCCGTCCGTCTGTCCGTCTGTCCATGTATTTTTGTAAACAAAGTACAGGTCGCATTTATTGCCGGATCCAGATGAAATTTTGCATAGATCATTTGTTTGGCCCAAGGACGAACCCTATTGAAATCAAAAATCGGTCAAAATTTAGATATAGCTCCCATATATATCTTCGTCCGATTTGCCTTTTATTGAGCACCAAACGTGTAATATCAGCCCGAATTGTGTGGAATTTTGCATATACACCCAAATTAGGTCTGAAAATATGTATGCCAAATTTGATGGAAATCGGTTCAGATATAGCTATAGCTCCCATATATATTGTTCATCCGATTTGTTATTTTTGTCCTCCGCCGCCGTAATATGCACTCTGCAACAACAATATTTGGGGAAATATATCAAATGCAGCTCAGAAATTCATTTGCTAAATTTTATGGAGATCGGTTCAGGTTTGGATATAGCTCCCATATATAACTTCGTCCGATTTACCTTTTATTTTGCACCAAACGTCTAATATTTGCCCAAATGGGATGAAATTTGGCACTTACGACCGAATTGAGTCTAGAAGCTAGTCAAATTCGTCAAATTTGGTGAAGATCGGTTCAGATATAGCTATAGCTTCCATATATAGTATTCACCCGATTTGTTATATTTGTTACCCACAACCATAATATGCACTCCGTAACAACGATATTCAGGGAAATATATCAAAAACAGCTCAGAAATATCTTTGCCAAATTTTATCGAGATCGGTTCAGATTTGGATATAGCTCCCATATATATCTTTATCCGATTTAAAATAATTGTGCACCAAATGGGCAATACAATTCCGAATTTAAAAGATACAAATGATTCGGCATATTGAGTCTTTTGAACTTTAAATTATAATTATAATCATAGCGTGTATGAGCTCGTGTGGAGCTCTATTAAATTAGCAAAGTGGTGTAGGGTATCATAAAATCGGCCCCGCCCGACTTTAAGACTTTCTTTACTGGTTATAATTATTATAGTTATACCATCAGCCATATGGCTAGAGAGGGTATATATCATTTGTAACGACCAAAACGTGTCTCATCGAAATAACGGTTTTAGACCCTAGGTCTCTTTGGACCAAATCTGTTTCAGAAGATTTGGAGTCGTGGCTGGTGCCGAAGTCGAAGGTACATCGTAATGTTATTGTCAAACTTAGATGCGATGGAAGATGGGATATATCGGTCCAATCCTTCTGGTACCTCCCACAGAAAGGGTCAAAATTTTGGATATACCCTGGCATATCATGTGAAATAAGTCTGCGATTTTTTACAACTTGCTATGACTAAATATTTCTCCCAACCAGAATCCTGAGATGTTTATAATTCCTGAGAATTATAATTTTGCATAAAATTGGATATACGGGGTGAGATAAAAAAACTGCAACGAAGTCAAACGCCATTTTTTAAATTTTATTGAATGAAGGCAAAAAATGTCGGAAATAGCATTAAATTTTAGAATAAGTTTAGATTTGTTCGAATTGGTCACCTTTGGCACGAATTGTGGCCTTCAAACGGCCAATGAAACCGTCACACGCAGCCGGAATGTTGCTCTGTGGTATTTGGCCCATTCCCGGCGAAGCGCTTGCTTAAGGTGATCGACACTTTGGTATTTTTTTGTTTTTAGTATGAAAATGGAATACACGCACATTTTAACTTTTTCTAAAAATTATAACATATCTCAAATAAATTGAAGGATTGAACCAATATAGCCCAAACCTGGCACGCCGCAATATTAATATTAGATTTATTAAGGACCTTTGTTGTTGTACTTATTTTAATATTCCAATATTTCGAAATTCAATGAATTTCATCTTTAGGGAAATAAATACAACAACAAAGACCTCAAGCTCGAAAAAACACTTGTTTCATTAAAATATAAAAAGGTCGAATAAAAAGGAAAAACATTTATTAAGGACCGATACAATATGGACAACATTGGTCCATTCCTTCGGAACCTACTCCATAGAGGGTCAGCAATTTAAATAATCATAAAAGAAGTCAAAATATATTTAAAAAATTGTAAAATAGGCTGAGGGTATACATCTGTTGGCAAAAATGTCTGATACTTTATAGCTTATTTTCTATAATTTTCTAGGAATTTGCACGTGTTTAGCATGCAAAGCGGACAATACGACAACAGATTGTCTACTGGTTTGTCATTCTTAAGTAGCCACACCAACTGCTACATGTTCCAGGCTTGTGGAAACCCGCTCATCATTAAATCTGGATTGATCACATGTTGAAATATTTCTGATTCCGTCGTTAGAATAGGAGAAACTATTCTGTTCCTGGATATACATCTTTCCAATAACAATAATTCTGGACACAATACCAACTATTGGGCCACATGTCAAATAACAAAACATTGTAATTTCCATAGATAGACAGCAAATCGCTAAGTCGACTTAGAATTTCATGCTGATCATGAGTGCATGTGTCTTATGGGGTCTCTGACGAATATTAAGAAGTTATATAGACGGGATAAAAATTTTAATATTTCTATCCTGTTCAATGTGGAGGGTATAAAAAGTATATACCTTTACGAGTTTCACCCCATGTTTTGAAGAAATGTGTTTATATGCATGTTACAGAAATACATTGACAGAACTTATTTCGGTTTTTTTTTTTTTTGCATGTTAAATAATAATAAAAATGTGTATTTTGTCAACTGGAAAGGCTACATTTGGCTTTTACCATAGTAGGTAGGTGTAAAATAAGCATGGTCTATCGAATTTGACACCAATATTAGTGCCGTGTCAAATCAGAAGGTTTTTGCTACTACCTTATAATGATCGTACCATGGTCGCTATTTCATTCAATAAAACTACTTTGACTTAATTTCGTACAAGAACATTTTGTATTAAAATCTACTCAAAAAATATATTTACAATTGCTTTAGGCCTTAAAACTACTAACTGCTATTGCGTTGCTTATCACTTAACTCTTTTGCTGGGTGGTAGATACGAACTTCTTGGTGGTACATAAGTCCTAGATGGTGATGTCGAAGTTGGTGCTGGTGTTGGTGGTGGTACGGCAACAGCTTCATTGCCGGAGAACGCCGATTTCGATGCGAAATCCAAAACTGGAGCAGAACTAGGAGCATTATTATTGGATGCACCAGGTAAGCTATTGTATTGAGACTGAATTGTACGCTGGGCATTTTCTGCATCTGCCTGTGTGCGATATTTGACAAAATGAACTTCTGGTTTGTTGTCGGTGCTGGATTTGAGTTGCTGAAGTTGATTGGCCAGAGAACCAATATCAGATTGTTTGCTGAGCACATAGATGGCAGTGCGATCATCGGCAGCAGTTTTGGCCAACTGTAGGGCCGCTTCTTCGAGACCTTTGTTCTCCGGACCTTTAATAAATACCACACGCAGATTCTTCTTCAGGGCATTGGCAATTTTTTCGCCAGCATTTACATCTTCAAATTCATGTTCAGGGGCACTAAAGGAAAAGAAAGATTTGCTGTATTCCTCTTGAAGTGGCTGAACTTGTTGTTGAGAAAAGTTCAGATCCTCAGTATTCACACCAACGTCGGCAATATTATTGACCAGGGGGCCGTAATTATATTGAGCTGACACAGCGGCAATACAACACACCACCTGAAAAACAAATCAAGTATAAATATTTAGTTTTTCCGTTTTAATTGTCTCTTTTAAACCTACCAAGAATGAACGCATTATGAACATAAGGAGATGTTTAAAGAAGAGTAAAATGACTGTGCTACTACCAACTGTTGTAACGTATGTTCAACAACTGCGATTACAATCGACGTCATACACAATATTTATATCAAAGTTTTTTTCTTTTCTTTTCCTCAAAATTCATCTCCATTTTGAACCTATGACCGATCAGTTACGAAATGCAACCGGAAAATTAATGCAACACTTATTTGATACGCATTCCGTGTAAATGAAATTAAATACACCAACAAAATGTTCATTCCAAATAGTTGTCAAATGTGTTAATGACACTGCAAATGACCAGTTTGGTTTGACATGAGAAAAATGCTACTCCCACAGCTGGTTGTCGATGCAATCGAGCCAGTATTTCACGAAAGATGCATTTTCAATGAGTTGCATTGCTTGATATTGATGTAAATTTATGTTTCGATAAAGATGCTGAAAATTTAAATCAGTGCGTCTCTCAATAGTCTTCATCCTAAAAGTATGTGAAAATGTTTAACAAATGATACTCTACACCATTATGCATTATTAGTAGAGCTCACATAACAAGAGAGTATTATTTTATTGGGAATTTATTTGAAGTAGATCACCTATCAACCTTTGGCTTTAGAGCAGTTATAATTTGGTTTCAGAGGGAACTGGTAAATGGGAGGAATATCAAATTCTTTATCGATTTTCAACAAATTTGGCGGAGACATTTTTATCTTTTATACCAAATAACATTGCTATAGAATGCATAATATCACTCCGAGAAGGACTATATTAAACAAGTAAAAAAAACATTAAGTTCGGCCGGGTCAAACCTTTAATACCCTCCACCTTAGGGTAAAGGAAACATAAGAAGAAATGTGGTAAAAACCATTAAAATGCCGAATATCGGGAGGTACCGTTATATGGGGGCTATACCAAATCGTGGACCTACACATGAAAGGTTCCGCCAACGGAGCTAGAACCCATTATGACCTACAAATACCAATTTTCAGACAAATACATGAAAAAAATGTGGCAAAAATCATCAAAATACCGAATATTGGGAGGTACCGTTATATGGGGACTATACCAAAACGTGGACCTATATATACAATGTTTCGCCACACGAACTATGACTCAAAAATTCCAATTTTTAGACAAATTAGTGAAAAAATGTGGCAAAAACCTTCAACATACCGAATATCGGGAGGTACCGTTATATGGGGGCTATACCAAATCATGGACCCATACATGCAATGTTTCGCCACCGGAGCTGGAACCCATTATGACCAACAAATACCAATTTTTAGACAAATCCGTTAAGAAAATGTGGCAAAAATAATCAAAATATCGAATATCGGGAGGTACCATTATATGGGGGCTATACCATGACGTGGACCTATACATGCAATGTTTTGCCACACGTACAGGGACCCGCTATGACCTACAAATACCAATTTTCAGACAAATCCGTGAAAAAATGTGGCATAAATCATCAAAATACCGAATATCGGGAGGTACCGTTATATGGGGACTATACCAGAACGTGGAATACCAACCATCCTAGACACAATACCAATTGCTCTGCCAAATTTTGCCGCTCTGCGTCAAATAATGTGGGCTGTATCGTGATTTCAACAGACAGACAGACGGACATCGTTAAATCGACTTAGAATTTTATGCTGATTATGAATATATACTATATGTTACAAACGGAATGATAAAGTTAATATACCCTCCTTTCCAAGGTGGAGGGAATAAAAATATATATCGTGGTCGAGTTCCACCAAATGGAAACGAAATTCTCTTCATTTGGGCTGATATTAGCCATTATTTGCTTAATAAACCTGAAATCGGATTAAGGATATATATGGGAGCTATATCCAAATCTGAACCGATCTTAATAAAATTTGGTAGAGGTATTTCTAAGCTGTATCTGATACCTGGTACCAAATATCATTCTTGTGGAGTGCATATTACGAATGTGAGGGAATTAAACACCATATCGTATGAAACATATATATGGGAGCTATATCTGAACCGATTTTCACAAAAATGCATGTACTTGCTTCAAGGCTGAATTCGGTCGGATGTGCCAAAGTGCAGGTAGCTTGAACTGTTATTGATAATTTGGTGCACAATTAACCCGAAATCGGTTGAAGAGATATATAGGAGCTATATCTAAATTTCAACCGATTTTAACAGGGTTCGTCCTTGGGCTAAACAAATGTTGTTTGGAAAAGTTCATCTAAATCGGATAATGTGACCAAAATTTTGTTCACAAAAATACATGGACGGACAGGCGAACGGGCGGAGAGTCGGTGATCTTAACCCTTTCCACTATGTGGTGTAGGGTATAAACAGTTTTTGAAATGCAAACAAATGAAAGAAAGAAAGCGCTGAAAATTAAAGAATTTTATTATTTGTATTACCTAGCACGTTTCCACTACTCAGCGAAAAGTCCACAATTTGTTCATTATTTCTTGGATAACATATCCAAACAAATCTTTAGACATTATACGTACTTTTCAACTGCACCAGTTCGACAACACTTTATCCATATTTTCCTTTATCGAAAAGGATAATCGGGTAATCGAAAAATGATTACTTCAAAATCATTCGTTTTGAAGTTTACCGAAGAGCATCAACGGCGAAATTATATACCATTTAGTAATTTTTGAACAAACAAAGAACGCACTCCCAAATATACCCCCTTCTCTCAGAACCATATACCAACAGTAACCTCTATATCAAATTTCAGAATTCCAGCTCTATAGCATAACTTCTATATATATAAACAAGTAAGCAAAGGCTACAGTCGAGCGGGCCCGACCGTTGAATACCCTACAACACTATAATAAGTGATACTGTTTATATAGGCGAGATACTCGAAAGAATTCCACAAGATATTGTGAAAAATTATAAAAGAAACCATCGAATAATAGCAACTTAAACTAATTTGTTCATTTCCAATTTATTGGTAGATGTTGCACGTAAATGGTCTTCATAGATCTGGAACCAATATTTCCCAAAGACCTATAATCTCTCAGAAGTGGCAAGATTAACATTTATTATTGTTTTTTGACTGAAACGCATCTATATGAGATACAGACATTTTGACTATATTCTTCCACGAAATCAGCGTTAACGAAATAGTCAGAAGTGAGTCTTTCCTGTATTTGTGAATTCTACAAAGAGTCACTGGAATGGACATTTTCGTATTTTGTCTACAAAAGTTGGCAAACTATTTCATACATTGAATATTTTTGGATGGCCATCCAAAACTGCTTGGCTTTTGCAATGTCCGGTAACCCCCATTCAAATGTGCGTGAGGATCGGGCGATAATTACGACCTGCTGACAATTTTGCAGTTTTTTGGTCCATTTCAACCCCTAAATATATTGCGATCATCTCCAAAAAGAGTAGGCTTTTATTCTGACCCACATCTTATACCCATGCAAAATTTCGTAAAGATCGGGCCATAAATGCGAACTGTATATGATATCTTGATATCCTAACCAATTAGTTTTGTTAGCTGTAGAAATATTACCAAATGTTTAATTCAAAATGAAAATATGCCAAAAATATGACAAAATTGAAAAAATATGAGAAAATGTTACAAAATCAATATTTTCATCTTTAGAGAGATATTTTTATGCGATTTTTTTAGACGTTTTTTGTTTCCTGCCAAGAGACCATTCTGAATTAATGAGAACTGTCGAAATCAGTTCAGCCGTTCTCGACATATAAGAGATCTTTCAAGCAAATGTTCTTTGATAGAAATATATATCGCACATATTTTGCTATATATCCGATTTGTTAGATGTTAACATCAATGTAAAGGTCAGGAGTAACCTTGTCATGGCTTCGTGATTTCGCCGGGATTTAAAATATTCGGTTTAATGAAAAATGTTGAATTTTTTCAACACAAAAGGTATAGTATATTTTACCCGCTAAATATTATCCGATGACCACCCTAATTGGTAGGCTTCTTCCCCGCCCTAAACTCTAGCTACATACGAAATTCCGCGTCGATTGGTCTATAATTGCGACCTGTATAGCTACTGCAAAATCCGATATTTTTTCAGTATTTGGTCCATTTCGACCCCTAAATATTATGCGATCTTCTTCCAAAAAAAAATAGGGTTCTATTCTGACCCTATCCCCACCTCCATTTTAAATTTCGTGAAGATCGGACCATAATTGCGACCTGTAGAGTGATTACAAATTAACATGGACAGACGGACGGGCGGACATACATAGCTAGATCGACTCAGCTCGGCGAGCTAGGAAGATCCATATATACTTTCCTATATGGGAAACCAATATTTCGAGGTGTTACATAAATTCTGGCCCAATCAAACTTATAATACCCCCAACACATAGTGTTGTAGGGTATAAATAGTTGTGAAATAACTGATTGACTGAGAATCAAAGCCCGCACGAATCAGCTGAGGCTAGAAGACGCAGTCTTGGTGCGTAGGCGTGTGATAAATCGGGGTTTTCGGAAATTCGGACTAAGAGGTTACGAAGAGTACTAATATGTACTAAAAATTTAATACTTTGTATTGGAAATTGTATTTGAAATTTGGAATGAGAATCGCTAATAAATGGATGTACTAGAGGGTTTTTAGAAAATCGAACTTTAAGGTTACAAAAGAACAGATAAAGAGAAAACTTGAAATTTGACATAAGAATTAATGTTAACAAAAGCAGAAAGTTCGGCCGAACTTTGAATACCCTCCACCATTTGGAACGAATAAGAAAATTTTCAAAAAAATAAAACCCATTAAAAATTCTTTTAAAATCTTTGTGTGGATTTTCAAATAACTCCATTGGAAAAAGTGGCTAAAATCATCAAAATACCGAATATAGGGGGGTACCGTTATATGGAGGATATACGATATTGTGGACATATATAGACAATTCCGTTTCAAGGCTAACATCATCAAAATACCGAATATCGGGGGGTACAGTTATATGGGGGATATACGATATCGTGGACGTATATAGACAATTCTTTTTGAGGGGGTAAAATGCCCACAAGGGACTCCTCTTGTGGAATTTCAGACAATTCCATTGAAAAATGTGGCTAAAATCATCAAAATGCCGAATACCGGGGGGTACCGTTATATG